GGCGCAGCGGGGCCAAAACATCAAGAATGAGCTGATGGGAATATCAATCACGTGATCCCGGCTTCACCTTCACCCTCACCCTGCACACGCGCGCGACCTTTTTGCTTCTTTTTTTTTTCTGTTGGCCGCCCCAGCGCGTGTGAGGCGCGTCGAGTTGGATCGAGTCGAGTCTGACGAGTCGCGGCACTTGGCTTCACTTGACTCACAACTTCTCACACTCATCATCAGACTCATGCCTTTATCGCAGGCGCAGGCGCACAACCAAATACCCGCATCCGCATCCGCACCACAAGCATCCGCCCGTCACTCACTCAATCCCGTCATCACCATCACCATTACCGTCACAATCACCTTCACTCGTAAGCGACCTCATTTGTATTCTGTACCACGCATACACCCTTCCGCGCTCCTTCGCTAATCCTTTTTACGCTCAGCCCACGTTCAACGTCTTCCCGCTTCCCACTTCCCGCTTTGACCTTCCCTCACGACGCTCAGCCGCTCACACATCCCCAAGCAAGCCAATCGCCTCGTACGTGCGCCCTTGAATGTTCCCTCGCCGCATCAGCACCGTCCGCGCATCGCCTTTTCTCTCTCTCCAACGCCTAGCGCTCAATCTGACCATGGCGCCCACGCCCGTCGCGCTGAGCACAAGCGCTGCTGCCGCACTGGGCATCTCCTCGGACCAATCGGCATTCAAGGAAGGCTCAGCGGTCATCTCCATACCCAAATCGGACGCCGCTTTCCTGAATCCTGTACAGGAATTCAATAGGGACCTCTCTGTGCTTGCCATTCGTACCTGGGCCGAGCGGAGGGACAGGGAGAAGAGGGAAAAGTTCGAACAGGCGATCAGCAAGAGAAAAGAAAGGAGCGCGAATGGCAGGGGCAAGAGGAGAAAATTGGCGCATACAGCGACGTCTAACGGTGAGTGAGGCGTCGTCGGGTGAGATCGGCGTGATGAGCGCGGCCAACTTACGCGAACGCTACACGCTGCCCGCAGCGGGAAACGCAGTCTCGCTTGACGCCGCCTCCAGCACATCCGACATTCAGGCAGACTTGTCGGCCAGCGCTCCTTCAGCAGCAGCAGCAGCGGGCGATCTCTCTACTGCCAGCACCAGCCCACACGCACACATCGATTCCTCTTACCGACCCTTTACCTTCAACATCTTCGAAGCTCTCTCAGCCACAGGCTTGAGGTCCATTCGGTATGCTCGAGAGATTCCGAACTTGAAGAGTGTGCACGCCAACGATCTCTCGCCCACTGCTGTGCAAGCCATTTGGAAAAATGTGGCTCTGAACTTTCCTGCTAATCGCGACATCAAACAGTGGGCGCCCGAGTTGGATCAAGGAGAGCCGGAAAAGGATGCTCTGGAAGCCAGCTCAACTGCCGAAGCTGCTGCCGCCACGGCTCGCAACACTTTGTCTTCTGAGGCTGCGAGCGCGCAGTTCGCCAACAATGGCGCAGCCAATGGGGCTGGCCACCCAGCTATTCATCCCAACTGCAAGATCCATGTGACAGAGCAAGATGCCATCGAGATCCTCTACACTTCGCGAGCGAAGGACAAGCAGTACTCGGTGATCGATTTGGATCCGTACGGTAGTGCATCGATGTTCATAGATGGGGCAGTCCAAGCCGTGGCGGACGGAGGTTTGCTGTGCGTCACTTGCACCGACCTGGTGGTGTTGGCGGGGAACGCGTATCCCGAACGAGCCTACTCCTTGTACGGCGGCACGACGACGCGGAACGATTTTGTGCACGAAGTTGCACTGAGGTTGGTTTTGGGCTTGATTGCCACCACGGCAGGAAGGTACGGTCGAGCCATCACGCCCCTGCTCAGTCTTTCTATAGACTTTTATCTCCGAGTGTTTGTCAGCGTACAGACCAGGCCTGTGGATGTCAAGATGCTGGCTAGCACCATGGGCACCGTGCAGACTTGTCCTGATTGCGGTAACTGGGACGCAAATGCTTTCGGACGCAACAAGGCAGAGGGGAGAGCGGATCTGATCAAGTATCAGGCTGGCACCAGCCATGCTGCGGGTACCAACTGTCAGGAATGCGAGAGTCGATTTCATGTGAGTGCCAGCGATGATCGGGGAGGGTGCAAGGTGCGCGGAAAGCGAAAGCGCAGTACGTCGAAGATGAGCTACACATGTACTATTCAGGAATCTCGTTAGGCTTACCCAATACACGTGGGGAGACAATCCATGAACCGCTACTCTGAGGCGAGCGCTTGGGGAGGAGCAAAAGGAATGCAGAGCCGGACGATCGGTAGAAGGTGTCAAGTTCTTGGTGCAAAGCTGACCCTTTGTCTTCTTTGTTGTGCGGACTTCCCGGCACTTTGCAGGTGGCGGGCCCCATGTGGCTCGGACCGCTACATATGCCCAGCTTCGCCGAGGAGATGCTTGAGGTTTTGGAGCGAGCGCCCGTGCGCTTCCGTACAGCTCCGCGTATCCGTGGTATGGTGGGAATGGCAAGCAAAGAGCTTTCCTCTCCATTCTTCTTCATCCCACCGAAGATCTCCAGCTATTTCCATACAACCAACATTCCCCTCACCACTGTCGTCTCTTGTCTCTTGAATGCGGGATACGAAGCCTCTAGAAGTCATGCGCAGCCGGCTAGCATCAAGACGAATGCTAGTCCGACTGTGGTGAGAGATCTCTGGAGACAGTGGGTCAAGGAGAAGTCGCCGATCAATGAAAAGAATGTGCACGAGAATAGTCCGGCGAGGAGATTGCTCTCGAAGGAGTGCGCTACGACATTCGAGCTTGACAAGGATCATCCGCAGACGAGGCGGGTCCTCGGACTGGACCAAGACGGCAAGAAGGACGCAGGCGTCAAGTATCAAGTGAGTGTGCTCTAGTGGCAAGACCTTCGGCTCGCGGAGCGAGCTGCCATACGTTTCGGCAACAGTATCGGAAAGGCTGACGCATCTGTCGATGGCTCTTGCTGCTTGCCGCAGCTAAACCCTCTGCCAAACTGGGGCCCCGGAAAAGCAGCCAGACCAGAATCTCAAAAAGATCGCAGACGAGCAGCCGCAGCGGCTGCTGCGGCTGCGGCAGCATCGAACGAGTCGAATGAAACGGGCGAGAGTCGGGCGAATGGCAGCGGTTTGGCTGCCAGTGCTGAAGTTGACGCGTCAGCCCAAGGCGATGCGCAAGCCAACAACCAAGCAACGTCAATGGACGAAGATGAGCTTCGCAATTCGTAAACTTGATGCGATGCACCGACTAGAGCATCTAAGGCGTTGTCATTTGAGCCTGGTCATTGAAGACGACGCATTTTCTCTCGAAGAGTGACGCTTTCAACATAAATCATGCAATCATGCAACCAACCGATCGTGATGACAGCTGACATTGATGCGTGTCGACTGGTGATCGCGAAGCTCATGCGACCATTTTCGACGATCAAGAAAGTCTCGCGTTCGTGAGAATTCTCGAGATCGACGCACTTGATGAACGCACGAAGCACGACGCAAGTGGGCCCCTCACTCGAGACGCAAATGCGATGCGATGGGATGAAAGTGGTGTGGATGTACACGGGTGCATGAGTGGTCTTGTGCGATTGTTCAGAGTGCGACGGACATTGGAATGGCGTGCAGAGAGATGGCTTTTGAGACTCGATTTGGACTGGCTAGGAGGGATGAAAGGGCTAGGCGAGAAAGTGGACGTGGGAGAGCGAGGTTGGAGCGAGGGCACAAGCGGGACTGTTTGAGCGACGCATAGGATGTGTACATTGCGCTGCGTCTTCGAGCGCATGGCCGGATTGCGAGGTGCAATGCGTCTACCCGTCGAGGCGCAAACGGCGAGTCTCAGTGGGACTGCTCGTGCGCCATGTGCGGTCCGGTCCGAGTGGCGTTGAGAGCTAGGCGCCATGGTCCCTTGCTAGCAACCGTGTCGAGGTCCGTGCGCATTTGCGTGCACAGCCTGAGTGACTCCTCATAGCACAAAGATGACGCCAACCAGACTGGCAAGACACATTACCAGCACGGTGCCGATCTGAGCAGATCCGAAATGAAGAGAAGAGAGCGCACCGTCGCCGGAACCTGCACGAGTCGAGGTGCTCGTGCTGTTCACCGCAGCACTGTTCGTGCTCGCGCTGCTGCTGCCGGTGCTGGTCGCGTTGGGAGCGCTGCTGTTCGAGGCGCTGGGTGCGCCCGGTTCCGTCGTTGCGCTGCATGCATGCATAGATCAGGAAATGATTTCAGTCAAGCAGCGTCACGTCACCATGGCCTGCGTGCGTCCCTCGCTCATCCGAGTTGCACGAGCCACTCGGATTCTCGACGCGCATGCGCAACCATCACTCACGTAGCTCCGCCTGCACTGCCAGCGGTGCCAGTCGCTCCATTGGGAGCTGTGGTGGTGAGAGCAGCGCCGCTGTACGTAGCCGCTCCGCCCGCCGCTCCATTCCTCACTCCATTGTGCTGACCGGCGCAATTGTTCTGTGAGATGAGAAAAGGAGAGATGTGGGAGCGTTGCATGGTAAAAAGGGCAGATCCAAAAAGACGGGCATGGATGCACGCACACACACGCCCCAGGCCACCACCTCGCTCGTTGTCGGGGGCGAGCATCATTGTGTGTTGATCAAGTTTCACCTGCTACTATACACTCACGTTGTTGTAAGTGACATCTTCGGCTGGCTGGATGCCTGGGCATGGAGCGTAGCAAGCCTGAGCAAACAAAGTGAGACGCAAAAAAGTGGTGCGAGTGAGTTACAACGTGTCTCACTGCAGGCAAGCAGGCAGGCGTGCATGCATGCTTCCTTGAATGCGCCCTGCTCTCGACTCACAATGAGACCGTACTGCTTGTTGCAGATGCATGGCCAATCACCATCATTGCAAGGTCCACCAGGTCTCTGAGACTCGTCCACCTCCACTTGTCCCAAGCAGGTAGTGATGGAGTCCCTCGTCTCTTGTGGGCATGTTGCTTGTGGGTCCAGCAGCGTCTCTCCGGGTGCCGATTGGGCAAGGACGAAGGAGGCGCTCAAGAGCAGAGCTAGACTCCATTGGAGCAGCACAAAGCGGCGCGAGAACATGTTGAGTGAACGGCGTGGCCAAGAGGGGGATGCGTTGTCTGTGTGAGGACGTGGATGGGGGAGCCAAGGGGGGGTGGTGAAGGTGAGAAAAGAAGTCGAATGTGGCCGCCTGCTTGCATCATCCAAATCGCGAGTCGTGAGTGTTCGTTGCAGGTGAATCGTGTTCCTCTCTTTATATACAATACGGACAAGCGCCTTTGCCCCATGCAAGGCTTGGCAGAATAAAGTTGCAGCGTGTGCGCGCCAAGGCGCTCAACCAGCACGCTCAAATATGCTATAGAAGCCATCCATCACGCAGCTTTCGCGGACGTTGCTTGCACCGTCGCGCCCTCCACCCGCGCGTCGTCGGTTCGCCGCGGACACCCGACACAACACGTTGGCCGCGCGCACAGCAGTTCAAGATCTCCAACCCGCGACCGCGGCCACGAGTGCACGAGTGCCATGAAGCAAGTCAATGGTGAATATATGCTTCTCCAGCGCCGAGACATGGAGCAAGCTTCGCATCTCCGTCAACGCTGGAGCAAAGCCTGCTGACCTACAGCGATTCAAAGCGATCCTTAATTGCTGAGGAACAGGAAGCGGCTTTGAACTTACGCAAGCGTTGCGTAGAATGACAGAGCCATGCATCGTGCGCGGCTGTTGTCACATGCTGCAACTCGCATACGCTGCTGCCCCGCAATCCCCTCGCATCCAACATGTTGGATCCCGCGCGCGGGATGCGGCCCCGCTGCGCTGCATGCTGCATGCTGCATGCTGCCTGCCTGCCTGCCTGCCTGCCTGCCGCCTGCCTGCCTCAGCAGGGACCGCTCCGCATCTTGCAAAGCATGCGGCGGCGCAGAGATCGAGGGGGTTCTATCGTTCAAAAAGCGCGTCGACGTGGAGTCAGAGCGAGCGCGACCCGTACGAGTGGTATGGAGTCGCGATGATCACGTGCCGCTTTTCAGACCCAAGAATTTTTGAACTTTTTCAAATCAAGAATCGTGAATCGTGAATCAAGAATCTTGAGTCATTCACGAGGTTCTTCTTGACTTGCTGAGGGACTCGGTCGGGCACATGGGCGCGTACGTGCGGTGCGTGCGACTACACGCGGCAGCAAATCGCACTTCTTCCCGATGACGATGACGAGCAAGCAGATTGATTTCACGATTTGGTACCTGAATGCGTCCATCTTGAACGTCCGCCTCAACATCCAATCGCATCAACACGCCTGCTCGACCGCTCAAGCGCATCTTGACGCTGATTGTGCTATCCGGCTGGCCCTACTTGGAGCGCATACATTCACTCGCAAGATGCTGGTGCGAGGCACAACACAGCGGGGCTTTGGCCTCATGGCCGCCGTACACGCACGGTGTCTCTCCACCGCAGCGGTGCCAGCACGGGCTGCTATCAACTCGAGATGCTCGTCTAGCTCCATCTCAACCAGCACACGCCACGTTGATCCTTCCAGTGTTGGTCGACGGATCGCTCGTCAGCCTGGTGGCATGCTTGCAGGATGCACAGTAGGCATGGCATCAGTGGCGACCTCTTCCACCGTCGTCTCGGCCACAGACCCTTCCATTGTACTGACGGGAGCCGAAGCGCAAGCCATGTCTCGTCGACGAAACATCGGGATCGCAGCGCACATCGATAGCGGCAAGACGACAGTGACGGAGCGAGTGCTCTTCTACACTGGACGCATCAATGCCATTCACGAGGTCAGGGGCAGGGACAATGTAGGGGCAAAGATGGATCACATGGAACTCGAGAGGGAAAAGGGCATCACCATTCAGAGCGCTGCTACGTATTGCAAGTGGATGGCCACTCCACCCACCCAAACAGATGCGGTGTCGGGCGATGTGGGTAGCGGAGAGACTTCTGGAAAGGAAGAATTCCACTTTAACATCATCGACACGCCAGGTCACGTGGATTTCACCATCGAGGTGGAGAGAGCTCTGCGAGTGCTCGATGGCGCAGTGCTGGTGCTATGCGCTACTTCTGGCGTGCAAAGCCAGACCATCACAGTGGACAGGCAGATGAAGCGTTACAATGTTCCCCGCATTAGCTTCATCAACAAGATGGATAGGCAAGGGGCAAATCCATGGAGAGTCATCGATCAGATCAGGTCCAAATTGAAATACCCCTGTGCCGCTGTCCAGCTGCCTATTGGTAGCGACGACAACTTTGAGGGCCTCGTCGACCTTATCCGATGGAAGACTGTGCACAACGACGGAGAAAAGGGGTGAGTGAGGATCCAGTGGACAGGTCAAGCTTGCTCCCAGACGCTGACCATCCACGCTCCGGGGGGCTGTGCTTGTCTCAAGCATCACTATACGCGAGGTCGACGGCGTACCTGATAACTTGAAGCAGCTTGCAGAGGAAAAGAGGCGGGAGCTGATAGAGCAGCTGGCAGATGTGGACGACGGCATGGCAGAAATCTTCTTGGAAGAACGCGAACCTAGCATCGATGAATTGGCCACTGCCATTCGTCGTTCCACATTAGCCTGCAAGTTTTCACCAGTCTTTATGGGCACTGCTATGAAGAACAAGGGAGTGCAAGCCATGCTCGACGGCGTTTGCGCGTACTTGCCCAATCCTGCAGAGGTGCCCGCTACCGCGATGGACACGAGCAGCACAGCCGCCAAGGCGGCCCAAGAGGAAGCGGTCCAGCAAGCTTTAAAGGATGGTGCAGATGACGAGCAGCAACAAGTGGCGCGCAAGTCGGCCTCGTTGCCCGTCGTTGGCTTGGCACCAAAGTCGGATGCACCTCTGGTTGGCCTGGCTTTCAAGCTGGAGGAAGGTCGTTTTGGGCAGCTGACATATCTGCGAGTGTATCAAGGTACGCTCAAGCGCGGTAACCAGATCTACAACGCTAGAACCGGCAAGCGAGTCAAAGTGCCTCGATTGGTGAGAATGCACAGCAACGACATGGAGGATGTGGACAGCATTGGTGCTGGAGAAATTTGCGCCATGTTTGGAGTGGACTGCAGTTCTGGTGACACCTTTACTGATGGGACGACGCAGCTCAGTATGACGAGTATGTACGTGCCGGAGCCCGTCATTAGCCTTTCCATCATTCCAGAAGGCAAAGACGCGAGCGCCGCCAATTTCAGCAGAGCGCTCAATAGGTTCCAAAAAGAAGACCCGACGTTCAGAGTACACATTGATAATGAGAGCGGTGAGACCATCATTAGCGGAATGGGGGAATTGCACCTGGAGATCTACGTCGAGAGAATGAGGAGAGAATACAATGTACCTTGCAAGACGGGCAAACCTCGAGTCGCGTTCAGAGAGACGATTGCTCAGAGAGCTGCTTTCGCGTACACGCACAAGAAACAGACGGGTGGAGCTGGTCAATTTGCTCGTGTGGCTGGGTGAGTGCATTGCGCGCCTGCGTAGCGTGAAGCACTTGCACTGACGCGCGCGCCTCTCCTGCTTACAGCTTCATCGAGCCCATGACTCTCGACGAGGAAACGGGCAAGGACGTCGCCTTCGAGAACCGCATCGTCGGCAACGCCATTCCAAACGGCTACTTCCCTGCTTGCGAAAAGGTGTGTGGAGGCCGTCTGGAGCGTGCGACGTCTCTACCACCCAACGCAAGAGCTGACGTCACACGCTTCTTGCTCTGCAGGGCTTCTACGAAGCGTTGGAAAAGGGCTCGCTATCAGGGCACTCCGTCACTGGTGTTCGATACGTGATGGAAGACGGATTGGCGCACTCTGTCGATTCCTCTGAACTGGCCTTCCGCCTCGCCACCATTGGCGCCTTTCGATCCGCTTTCCACAACGCCATGCCTACGATCTTGGAGCCAAAGATGACGGTGGAGATCACTGCTCCTACGGAGTTCCAAGGGGCTGTCATTGGTGCCCTCAATCAGAGGAGGGGCGTGGTGGAAGATAGCGAGGTCAGAGAGGATGAGTTCTCCATCACGGCTGAAGTCAGCTTGAACGACATGTTTGGCTATTCCAGCCAGCTTCGAGGCTTGACGCAAGGCAAAGGAGAGGTGAGTATAGGTCATGTGATTTCTCACAGCGCTAACTAGGGACTCTGTGCATCGCCTAGCTCACGCTGACGCGCCCCTTGTTCCCTTTCTCAAAGTTCTCGATGGAGCTCAAAAACTACCAGCCGGTCTTGCCTAATGTCCAAAGAGACATGGAAGCAGAGTACAAAAAGCAGCTGGCTGCTGGCAGCGGTAAAAAGTGAAGCGATCATCTACATTCTAGAGTAGAAGAAATTCATTCGCGCTCTTTGCAATCTTGTCCCCATGCATCGCAACTATCATCACCCTTCCAAAATGACTCAGTATCCGACGAGCGGCGGCAAGTCTGGTTCGCGGGGTGAGATGAAGCGCCCTAGACCTGTCAGGCACACAGCCTCGGCTGAGAAGCCTGTCACACATGTGCTTCTCCGAGCTCGAAATCACGCTGACACGTCTAGATCTGGCTAGCACCTCGGTAAATGTCGTATCAATTCCGCGCGTCTCACGCCCGCGTTGCAAGGACACACCCCACGCGTCTCAAGGGAATCGCATGGCGGTGAAGTTGAAACGCTTTCTACAGGGCATGCTCAGGCACTCTGCAGCTGGCCGAGCGCCGTGCGGCCATGTGTAGCCGCAAGATGATGGGCTCGATGGAGTAAAGAGAGGATGAGTCAGGTTCGTTGGTTGGCAGGAGAGCGGGCACCGGGTGAGCAGCTCTCCAGCATCGAGCGCAAACAAGATCCTCTGCTCTTTGCTCGCGATGCGAAGAGTGCCCCCAGCAGCCACACGAGGGCAATGGTCAGTAGCGCATGTATCGCAAAGTCAGCAAGGCAGAGCAATGGCGAATCAGAGCTCCTTTTTTATCAGGATAAGATCAGACCTGCACAGCTATAAAAGAGGTTGACCCGTTTGCATACTTGCGGTCCTTACGGGGGACGAACATCAGCAACATTTCTGCAGCAGTGTACACGCTAATCATTTCTTCTTCGCAGACATGCATCTCTTCCTCTGGGTGCTCGCCCTTTCCTTGCAGTTGCTTGTGCTTCAAGCAGGCACTGCAATTGGTCTAGGTGTGCGCACTCCTCACTTGTTGCGGAGGGCGTACACGAGACACACGTCGAGGTCCGTGCAAGACACTCGCGATGCTCTCAAGACGACTCACCAAGAGCGGGCAGCTCCGGAAGTAGGCGACCCCTCAAGCAGCCAAAGCACTACCATCTGCGACATAGTAGATCAGGGTGGAGCGACCTCTTCAACGCTCGACGTGGGCCCCATTATTGAACAAGTCTTCAAGTCGTGCGTCAAGCGCAGCTCAGGAGCTGTGCTTCGTGTACCACCCGGGGACTGGCCGATCGCCTCTCATGTTGTCATGAATCCCTGCAAAGACTTCATCTTTCAGATGGAGGGCAACCTGCACCTCACAGTCACGAACGTGGGCGGCGGTCCCATCTTCGACTTTCGATACTCCAACAATTTCAGAGTCACGGGAGGTGGAACATTCTTTGGCAACGGTCGTGCCTTTAGGGACAAGTACGCCTTGAACGATAGACCGAGATTGATGCTTTTCGAGGGTACCAAATATGAAGTTGACCACATCAGGCTGGATGATGCGCCGGTAAGTCGCTTATTTACGCTAAGGCTCTTGCTTGAGACGAGGCATTCTGACATCCTCGTCACATCAGATGTACCATCTCACCGTCCGAGGATCTCACTTCAAAGTCCACGATATAGTGATCAGCAGCAAGCCTCCATACGTCGGTACGACGGACGGCATAGATGTGGTTTGCGAAGAACAATGTTCAGTCTACAGCGTGAGGAGCTTCTAGAAAGCAGTTGACATGTCCTTCGCCGTCCTCGGTTGACAGTCCAAGTCGCCTTTCCGCCAGGCGAACGTCACGAGTGGCGACGAGTGCCTTTCGATAAAGAAGGCTCATGGGGTCGAGGTGCAGGTGAGATGGAGTGTTCTTCTGTTGCGGTGGACTCGGGCTGATTGCGTCGGTGCACACGCCCCTTGCAGGATCTCGAGTGCCACAGTGAGTAGCGGAAGATCGCACAGAACACATTAGGGCTCCCAAACCATCCTCACGGCTCTGATCGCTTCACACAGATGGGGGCGCAGTATCGATTGGCAGTGCTGGACCGGACGGCACGTTTGAAGTCGAAGACGTGCGCGTCAAGGACGTGTCGATGCACAACTCTCAAGCTGGCGTCTACATCAAGGCGTATCCAAAATCTCGTGAGCTTGATGATTTTCCTCTGCCTTGCGCTTCGCAGACGTATTCAAAATCGATCATTTCCCTTCTCCAGGCGGCTACATCCGTGGTTGCCTATTCCAAAACTTTACCATCGACAATGTAGCGCATCCCATCGAAATCAATCAAGCTTGGTGCGGTCATGGCGAGTGCACCCTTTCGGAATCCGGAGGACTTGACATCTCCGACATTACGTTTGATGGCTTCAAAGGAAGCGGGGATGACACTACCCGGCCTCCCGTCATATTGCGTTGCCACTCGGGAGGTTGTCACGATATCAATTTCCAGGTAGGTCAGGTTCAACAAGACCCGAAACAAAATGGAGCCGTCAGCCTTACCATTCTTTCTGCACAGAACATCAACTTGGCCAAGAGGGGAGGTCGTTCCCCCAAGCCACAGATACAGGGCGCATGTGGTGCTGGACTCGCCGCCCTGCCCGCTTGCTGAATTTGCGAAAGGAAGGTCGGCTCAGGCGGACGGCTGACGTAAGTACACGAGCCGTCCGAGGGAGTTGTTTGCAAACACGCACGTGAGAATGTGCCATGTGAATGCCGTTTGATGGCTTTGACTGCACAACTTTTTGTGAGCTGCACCAGACATTCTCACTCTTCGTCGTGGACCATCTTGAAGTCAGTTGCGAGCTCGTCGCGGTCGTGATGTCATGTTCAACTCCCACGTTAGCCTGATCCATCGTTCGTGCTTAAAAGAATGACATCGTTCTATCCTGACCTTGATCACGTCGGACCACGACCGGTGTCGCTGCGGCTCTTGTTGACGGCCCTCTAGTGCGAGTGCGTCTTTGCTCTGGGCTTGATGCGCCGCTTGCGTGGTGCTACTGCCAACGTCGGAGGGCAGCCATTTCTAGCGACACCCATGCGATCGAGGCTGATTTCTTTTACTTTGCCTCGTGTGCTGGAGGAGCAGGTCCTGAGGGCCGAGGGTCCCACCTTGACAAGAGACTACAGACGATGTAATCCCGCTTCACATTCAGTGTATCTCCAAAGCTCTTTTGGTAATACGTCGCTGGTGGCGGGTCGTGCCGCCTTGTGACGGCTCGCACAAGCCGGCGAACGCTGCGCGATTCTTTGACGAGCGTGTTGCTTTTGAGGGCTTGCCTGCAATTACGAATGCGAATGTGAATGTGAATGAGCAGGTCCGTCGCGATACTCGACTGCCGACGGACACATGCTTGCTATCGCGCCTTCTGTGGGTGCGGTCCAGGCGGCGGCCGCTCTTCCGCGGAGGACTCACGCGGTCTCCGTTGGTGCATGCATGCCGCGCCGCTCGCGGCCGACGCGGCGATAGCTCTCGACGCGCGGTGGTGTGCACCTGTCCGCATAAGATGCAAGGACCGCGAGGGAGCCACCTGTGCACGCATGAATGAGACAGTGAATCAAGAAGGAGGCGGGCGAAGCACCGTCTCAAAGGTGAGTGAGTGCTCGTCTGCGAAAGTCACGAGTTGCTAAGCTGCGCTGCGTCCGCGCTGCTTTCCAGCAGGCTAAATCTTGCGTCTCACATCCTATCGCTCGATCATCGGGCCTAGCTACGGCAGACGACTGACTGGCTGTTCCTTGTTGAGCGAGCATAAGCATGCAAGCAACGACGAGGAGCACGCGTTGCGTTGCGTTGCTCACTGCTGGTGCTGGTCATGTGTGCGCTGCTCCGCCCCACTCGCTCTCGCCCCCAGAAAGGGTTAGAGAGCGGTAGACTGCATCGTAACACTGTCACGTTCCTGTCGTGTGCTCCATCCACATCCGCTCCAGTCTGAGCCAAGCCAGGGGTATCGGCATAGTGAGTAGAGAGGGCCAGCCAGCGAGGAAGGGTCAACTAAATCTCTGACATCTCTGCTGACTGCACTGCGTGGTCCTAGAAGGCGAGAGCTGCTTGGAGGGGACGTCTGGGTGCAGCAGCTTCCCAAGCTCTCAGCCGGCGTTGTTTCGGATCTTCTCCTCCCTCCCACACAATTTTGGCTTCCTTCTGACTTCCATCGAAGTCCGGAAAGCGGCCGCCGTTTGGTGGTCAGTCGGTCCAGTCATCTCTCAATCAGATTCGCAAGCATTTCTAGTAAGATGAGTCTGAGTCTACCGCTCACCTCGGGCTTGTGCCGCAATGATGGAATGCTGGTAAGTGGTGGGGACCAGCAGTACTGGCTATCTAACTCTATCCCTAGCCCTAACCATCTGACTTTGGGTTAGGGTTAGGGTTAGGGTTAGGGTTACAAGGGTGTCCCGTTTTAGGGTCGGAAATGTTTGATAGCCAGTTTGTAGAGCACATTGAGGAGTGTCTTGTGGCAGAAAACTTTTGGATTTGCGATAGCCGTTTTTATGTGAGGAGGCGCAAAGCGCAAGTGCGGGGTGATTTTGGCTGGTGGCGTCTCTCAAATTTGGGAATCTATGTGACCCTAGCAGAGTTTTGGAGAGGGTCAGGGGAGTCATTTAGCATGTGTGAAGGGTTTGGGGTGGGGTTGCAAACTCATGGAGATATGGGCTTTCAAA